AAACTTTCTGACACCAAGGCTGTCTCTATTTTTCTTCGATCCCCGCTTTTCCGAATTCCAACACGCCTCCACAAACCACAGATTCAAATACGTACTGAATCTTCACGGTGTAAGATTGAACGAAGGAAATCTGGGGTTTGTGGCGCGGGATTGAATCAATTCGTCCTTCTTCTGCTGATGATGGCGATGAGGCCATGATTGAGTCCGACTGCTATGTAAATGAACTACACACAGAGTCAGCCCCAAGTACGTAGTTTCCAGCAGCAGTAGAGCAATGCATATGTCGTGGCAGTGTCAGCAGAGATGCTGAGCAGTGCACACATCTCGTGCAGACTGCCGAGCCCGACGTCAGGAGGCCGGCACGCCGGCACATACATACATACATGCAATGCATATATTTTCACATATATATATATCCATCCGATCGGCTGCGGGCTTTCAACCCCCAAAAATCCAGAACTTCTTTTTGCAGCAAAAATCCTCCAGAATGAATGATGATCTCTACAAGAGTATCGATGAAAAAGCTCGTGGCGGTGTCAGCAGAGATGCAGAGCAGCGCACACATACATGCAGACTGCCGAGCCAGAGGTCGGGAGGTCGGCATGCACATATATATATATATATACACATTCATCCGCGCGGCTGCGGGCTTTCAACCAAACTAAATCCAGAAAACCGTTGAAAATGTTATGAGCTCGCGCCGACCTGCCGCGAATCCTTTGATACGAAGCTATCTATGCGTACGTATTTACTGCTGTCATTTCTCTGCTGGTAGCTTTTCCCATGTTCTTGGATCACCCCTTGCCGCGGTGCTCTCTTTATACCACTCCGGAGGGACGCCTTGTAGAGATGGACTTATTGTTATTGTGTCATAGTTAATAAAAAAAAAAGGAATTGAGCAGATTGTTGTTGTTGTTGTCTTCACATTAAAAACCGTTCCGATCTCTCTCTACCCAGTACCTTCGTACCGTATATGACACAAGATAACACACCCCCTTGGCCGATTTTCAAAGCTCGATTTCTCAACAGCAGGAAGAGTCACAGCGCCGAAAACGGCGGCGTTGGAACCGTCTCGTCGAGAGCTTCTCGAAAACGTATTGTTTCATTTATGCATCCTCTTCGTCGTGGAGTAATCGAGCTTTGAAAATCGGTCCAGGGGGTGTGTTATCTTGTGTCATATACGGTATGTCCGTACTGATCCAACACTCGACGCGGTCGATTCGCAGATGGAGAGAAGCAAAGGGAAAGAGAAACGTGTGGATAGATCTAAAGAACAGAAAAAAAAACAAGCATGCATTATTCACACGAGCGCATCGTTCATACTTACTTGTAGCTCAGACAAACGCTTGCGATCGCAGGGTGGCTGGACTTGTCAAGCGCTGTTACCGGTAGTGACTACGGTGGACAGCACAACTACAGCAAAAGGTATGAGGCCTGTCGCCCGTTGTTCACGTACTACGGTAGCTTTTTCTCTGTTTTTTCGTACCACCTCTGTGCCGCCACGCATGTTTTTTGTTCGCTGTGCTGTCTTCTTCTGTGTCATTGCTTGTACATGTACATACATAGTCTAGTCTAGCTCTCGGTTCGATTGGTACCGTGGACCGAATATCGGTAATCGGCACGCAGTAGCTAGCCCACACACAGCAGTAGCTAGCACACACACGAGCACTGAGGGTAGAGAGCATTTACATGTAGACACAAAGAGCCTTCAAAAATGATCCGCCGCCGCAGGGTGTTTCACCATTGATTGGCGCACCCAAAGTTCCGCCGCCTATTACAGAGAGAGAGACCTTTGGCACGATCTTCAAGTCTAGGTGCCTACTGCGAGCACCACCCACTTGGCACCTACCCACGCCAGTACCATCTACACCACATCTCCAAGCAACATTGGATATTTGGATATTTTAGACCCGAAGACCTCGAATATCTTGGATTTAGACTGTGCTCGACGGTGTCGACGAAAATGTAGTACTTGGTATGACACAGATCCTCGACCCGAATTTTTTAGCGGACGTTTTTTGTAAGTCCACCCAATACTAGACTGCGTGTTAGTAGTCTACGTTATAGTAGTCATGTATGTCATATTATTGCACTCCATCATTTTTCACGTTTGTTCCTGAGGTGCACGGCCTGCCGTGGATCGAGTCGTTCGGTTATTTCCATATTTTCCCCGAGCCCCTGCGAAAAGACGGAACGAAATGCAAGACTAGCACAGCATAGTCAGCCCGTATGCATGCTCAAATGTCAACCAGCCGGATGCAACATGTAGTCTACGTATGTTATCACAGCGCGGTTATATCTTGCTTCACACAACAAGCGCGACCGCAATAAACCGCAACCATCATCCACGCCGCAGGCTTCTCGGGCGCACAGCAGCAGCACCAGCAGCATCACAACCAATCGGAGGCTTCGACGTTTATGACTTCGGACGGCGACAAAATGCCGACCGCAGCAAAGCGGCGAGCTGTAGTGGTTGGCGGAGGCCCGGCAGGTGGCTTGATGGCGGTATACCTGTCCCGGATTCGCGGTTTCGAGATTGATCTGTTCGAAGCCTTGGAGGAAGACAGAGTCGCAGGGCCGACGATACGCTCGTGGAATGTTGTTCTTTCCGGCAGGGGGTTGGTCGCTCTGGAGGCGGGGGGCGTCGATCTGGAGAAGGAGGTGCGAGGCGGGGTACTTGTAGCCGTACATGCCGTACGTAGTCGTTAGACCATTGACCTCGCATCCCTACAAACCCGGGACGGAGCACACCGGATTCTCGCCGGGCCAGGCTCTCAAATCACCAAGCGCGAAGCGCCGTGAGGTTCTTGGCGAGTAGCATGAAAGGTGCGGGGCGGGGAGAGAGTTTTACTTCTTCTATCTGCTACCATTGTACCGCCGTTCGCTTCATGGTGCTTTTTTATTTTCACGTCTGTGTTTTCTTGTTGAACGCCCGTGGCACCGCTTGTGTGTCATGCTGTAGGCACCTGTTGTGATGAATTTAGGTCCATCTATTAAATCGCGAACAACCAGGTGTCACAACAGGCATACCACGGCCGGCCGTCGAACTCGAAATGCACTGGCCGATTCTCTTCTTTCACTCGCATGGTATTTCTCTTCCCTTCTTTCTGTGTGACAAGTTTCTTCTCGTCTTTTCGAGTCCATCCCACCTATTTTCCCCGCGCCAATCTTCGTAGGGTGTTGTTGCGATTTCTTCTCATCGTTCCACTCCTCCTCCGGTAGAGCCGAGGAGACACACACACGCAAACGACTTCTTCCTCTCTCCCTGTCAGACCCCCCACCTTCCCATGTCTTGGCCCCGCCTTCTCGTGTCTTGGTGCACACGTGCCTCTAGTTTCATCGCGAAGAGTTGACCGATGTATGTATGTACATGTCGATCACCTTTTTTTTCTGCAGCCTTCTCGAACTTTCTGTTCTCGCGCTTGGGTATCATCTACCGTATCTGGTGTTTGCCCAGTTTCCAAATTATTTATCTATTGACCGAACAACAGCATCCCCCGCCCCCCCCCCCCCCGCTCAAATGGCGAAAAACCCCAGGGGCAGGGTTTACCCCCCCCCCGCGGCTTGGCGGTTCCCCCGGGGGTTGGCCTCCGGGGTGGGGTTTTCTCGCTTGGGAACCAAGTTTTAAAAAAACCAATTTTCTTTGGGGAATCGGGAAACAGGGTATAACGGTTTTTTTTTTCCCCTGGGTGTTTTTTTGGGGGGAAACCTGAAAGGGGGGGGAGGAAAACATGGTGGGGGGGGGCGAAAACCCCCCCCCCGCGCAAGGGGGGAGAACCCCCCCCGTTGG